TACCATCTGATTCCTGGACTGAAGCAGCCAATCAGCATCTCTGTTTCATGCTGGCATGTGAGGACATAAAAGAGGTAACTTGCTATGAGCAGCACAGACAGTCCTCTTTACAAGGTGAATAGTTTGACCCGGACAACGCTCTGGACTGATTTAAATGGTTACAGGTTGTTAGGCGATTCTGTGATATTCTGTCATTTTTTTTAAATGAACTAAAAATAACCAATTTTTTTATTAGATGGAAAATACAAATTTTTATTGGACTAAAAATAATTGTCTTTTTTATTAGACTGAAAATAACTGTCATTTTTATTGGACTGAAAATAACTGTCATTTTTTAAATGGACTGAAAATAACTGTCATATTTTTTCAAATGCCCTTAAAATATTTTTTTTTATTGGCCTGAAAATAACTGTAATTTTTATTGGCTTGAAAATAGCTGTCATTTTCTTTTTTTTTTATTAGACTGAAAATAACTTTAATTTTTTTATTAGATGGAAAATGTCTAATTTTTTATTGGACTAAAAATAACTGTCAATTTTAACGGACTAGAAATAATTGTCTTCTTTTTATTAGACTGAAAATAACTCATTTTTATTGAATTGAAAATAACTTTCATTTATTAAAGGGACTGAAAATAACACATTTTTTTCAAATTTCCTGAAAATTATTTTTTTATTGGCCTGAAAATAAGTATTTTTTTTTAAACAAACTGAAAATAACAAATGTTTTTCAAATGGCCTGAAAATAATTATCATTTTTTTCAAATTGCCTGAAAATAATTAATGTTTTTATTGGCCTGAAAATAACTTTCATTTTCTTTTTTTTTTAATCAGACTGAAAATACTTGTCAATTTTTTAAATTAACTAAAAATACCTATCATTTTTTTAAATTAATTGAAAATAACTATTTTTTTCAAATGGCCTGAAAATAACTATCATTTTTTTCAAATGGTCTGAAAATGATTATAATTTTTTTCAAATGGCCTGAAAATAATTTTTTTATTGGCTTGAAAATAACTGTCTTTATTTTTATTAGACTGAAAATACCTGTCATTTTTTTTAAAATGAACCGAAAATAACACATTTTTTCAAATGGCCTGAAAATAATTATGTTTTTTTTTCAAGTGGCCTGAAATTAATAATTTTTTTAATTGACCTACAAAATGTCATTTTTATTGGTTTGAAAATAACTGTCATTATTTGTTTTTAAACTGAAAATACCTGTCATTTTTTTTTAAATGAACAGAAATAACTTTTTTTTCAAATGGCCTTAAAATAGTTATTTTTTTTTATTGGCCTGAATATAAAAAATGTTTTTATTAGACAGAAAACAACTGTCAGTTTTTTATTGGGAATAACTGTCATTTTAAAAAAATGGACTGTAAGTAACTGTAATTTTATATTACACTGAAAATAACAGTTGTTTTTATTTGAAAAAAAAAAAAAAAGTATCAGTATCCTGGTGTATTAGCTGAGCCTATCAAGAGGAATTTTTCAAATTCTGATTAGCCAGGTGTTTATGGCAACCAATCAGCTTCTATCTTTCATTTTCAAAGGTAGCATGGGACAATTGGACAAATTGGGAGGAATTGTGCCAATCTTATGGTAAAAGTGGAGCTCTCCTTTAAATATTTTGTACTTTTCTCCATTAGGACAAGATGCCATACTGCAGCGTCAACAACTGCCATAACCAGACGGGCAAGAACAAAATGCTGGAAGGTGTAGTCATGCACACTTTCCCTAGGAAGCTGCACCGGATAAAACAGTGGCTGCGCTGCATTGGTAGACATCGTATCCGGCAAGACGTGGAAGATTTGGATGCCGTGGCGCAGCTCATACTGCACGGCGGCAACAACAGCTCATTTCGCATCTGCTCCAGTCACTTTGCTCCGGAGTGTTATGTCTCAACGAAAGAGAAGAGGAGGTCTCTCCGACACGATGCCATGCCAACGGTGTTCACCGCTGACAACGAGAAACCAAACTGGTCCAACATTTCGGCAGAGGCAGTGTTCCAGCACAACACCGTGAGCATGGTGCACGCTAGCACTTCCACAGACTGTTACGAGAACATGGAGGACAAAGGGGTCCAGTGGCCAGAGTTTGAGTTTAATGAAGGCGGAGAAACCGTGGAAGATTCAGCATGACCATGTCTACCATACTCCGACCCCCACCACCGCTAGTTCTCGGCTTGGGAAGGGCGGCTCCAAACTGAAGATTATCTGCATGGACTTGGGTCCCCTGAATGACCAACCACTTTCCTCCAAATTTGATTCAGAATATAAATCATTCAGGTCGGAGCAAGGCGAGGACAGAGATGGTTTTGACAGTGGCTTCATAGATGGTCACGAGGAGACTAGTGGTCAGGTAATTGGCAAAGCCTCTTGTTTTTCCTTTAGGTTTTGGTGAACATCCCCGACCTGAAAAAAGCCTCAGCACTAGTTGATCAATAGGCTGAAAAATACGTTAATAGGCTCTTCTTGGTCTAGGAAGGGTAGTTCCAAATGAAAGGGTTATCTCCATGAACTAGAAACCATAGAATAACCAACAGATTTGCCAATAGACTCTTCTCGGTCCAGGAAGGGTAGTTCCAAATGAAAGGGTTATCTGCGTGAACTAGAAACCATAGAATAACCAATAGGTTGCCTCCAAGAATGGCTCTGGATACCATACTGTCTGAAGAGTGCTTATAGCTGGTTTTGATCATAGCTTCGAGGATGGTCATGAGGAGATAAGTGGTCAGGTAAATCGGGAAAGCCTCTTGCTTCTCTTTTAGGTTTTGGTCAACATCTTCAACCTGGAAAGATCCCTGGCAGTAGTTGGCCAATAGGCTCTTCTTGGTCCAGGAAGGGTAGTTCCATATTAAAGGGTTATCTGCATGAACTCGAAACCATAGAATAACCAACAGGTTGCCTCCATGAAATGGCTCTGGATACCATACTGTCTGAAGAGTGCTTAGAGCTGGTTTTGATCGTAGGTTTGAGGATGGTCATGAGGAGACAAGTGGTCAGGTTAATCAGCAAAGCCTCTTGCTTTTCTTTTAGGTTTTTGTCAAAATTTCCGACCTGGAAAGATCCCTGGCAGTTGTTGGCCAATAGGCTCTTCTTGGTTCAGGAAGGGTAGTTCCAAATGAAAGGGTTATCTGCATAAACTCGAAACCGTAGAATAACCAACAGATTGCCTCCAAGAATGGCTCTGGATACCATACTGTCTGAAGAGTGCTTAGAGCTGGTTTTGATCGTAGGTTTGAGGATGGTCATGAGGAGACAAGTGGTCAGGTTAATCAGCAAAGCCTCTTGCTTTTCTTTTAGGTTTTTGTCAAAATTTCCGACCTGGAAAGATCCCTGGCAGTTGTTGGCCAATAGGCTCTTCTTGGTTCAGGAAGGGTAGTTCCAAATGAAAGGGTTATCTGCATAAACTCGAAACCGTAGAATAACCAACAGATTGCCTCCAAGAATGGCTCTGGATACCATACTGTCTGGAGAAGAGTGCTTAGAGCTGGTTTTGATCGTAGCTTCGAGGATGGTCGTGAGGAGACAAGTGGTCAGGTTAATCAGCAAAGCCTCCTGTTTTTCTTTTAGGTTTTGGTGAACATCTCCGACCTGGAAAAATCCTCAGCACTAGTTGGTCAATAGGCTGAAAAATACGTTTGTAGTCTCTTCTTGGTCCAGGAAGGGTAGTTCCAATTGAAAGCCTCCAAGAATAGCTCTGGATACTATACTTTCTGAAGAGTGCTCAGAGCTGGTTTTGTTCGTAGCTTTGAGGATGGTCATGAGCAGACAAGTGGTCAGGTAAATTGGCAAAGCCTCTTGCTTTTCTTTTAGGTTTTGGTCAACATCTCCGACCTGGAAAGAACCCTGGCAGTAGTTGGCCAATAGGCTCTTCTCGGTGCAGGAAGGGTAGTTCCAATCTAAGGGCTATCTGCATGAACTCCAAGCCTTAGAATAACCAATACGTTTTCTCCAAGAATGGCTCTGGATATAAACCGCACGTTCTGAAGAGTGCTTAGAGCTGGTTCTGAACGTAACTTAATAGATAGTTGTGAGCAGACAAGAGGTCAGGTAATTTGGCAGAGCTTTTTGGTTCTCTTTGGGGGTCTTAATCATCCTCGAGCTGTAGAAGTCCTCAGAGCTAAGTAGCCATCAAAGGATTACATCTGTTGGGCAACCTGTTAGGGTCTTTTTTGGTGATCGGTGTTACCCTTGGCTCTCAGAAATGGTTTACAGCAGTGTATTGAATCTTTAGTGGCTTCATCTATGGTTCAAGTACCTCAGTATCTTCAAGGTCAGCCTTCTGTAGTTTCTAAGTTTGCCCCTCTCCCCCTTTCCTCTTACATCTGTGGGTCAACAACACCACAATGTATGTTAGAACTTTGGTGGACTGAACCTTCCATGACTTCTTCTGTGCTTCTCTATGCCTAGGTCCTTCAAGGTCAGCCTTCTGTAGTTTCTAACTTTGCCCTCCTCCCCCTTTCCCCTTACATCCGTGGGTCAACAACACCACAATGAATTTTTAGATCATTGGTGGACTAGGTCCTTCAAGGTCTGCACCCTCCCCCCCCCTCCCCAAAGTCTCAGGTTTTCCTGCTGCATTTTCATTAATCTAAGAGAAGCTTAAAAATCATAGAGAGACCAAATAGCCTTTTGGACCTGGCCATGGCAGGTGGGTGGTGTCGGGAATTTTAGTCCTCGTGTAACATATAAAAGTACATTTAATCTGCACTTAAAGGGGATCGTCACAGGAAAAACATGGAGGCCGTTTTAGAAAATGTTGGATCCCTGTCCACCATAATGACCCTTTAAATACCTTGCTTCACTTTCTTACAGCAAGTATGTACATAAGGACTTCTAAAAGTTCAATTTAAACCTAGCATGGTCCCTTATTAGTGGACTTTTTCAGTTTCTTCAATTGCACTTTAATTTTGATCTAATAATTTCAGATTTTATCACCTCACACAGGGCTTCTGTGGTCAACATGACAACCTCCAGCATCCATTTTTCAAAATGTCAGCATCATCTGATAAGAATGAAGACGGATGGGAGTCACATGACTGAGATTATATTAAACCTCACCCTGGAGATCATCTACCTGCTGACCGGAGAGGTGAGGAGGATTCTGGGAGGTCACTTGACATTACTCTTATCTCTATTAATAAAACACAGACCTGACTGGAGAGGTGAGGAGGATTCTGGGAGGTCACATGACATCACTCTCATCTCTTTTAATAAAACACAGACCTGAACAGAGAGGTGAGGAGGATTCTGGGAGGTCACATGACATCACTCTGATCTCTAATAATAAAACACAGACCGGAGAGGTGAGGAGGATTCTGGGAGATCACATGACATCACTCTGATCTCTCTATTAATAAAACACAGACCTGACCGGAGAGGTGAGGAGGATTCTGGGAGGTCACTGACATCACTCTTATCTCTATTAATAAAACACAGACCTGACTGGAGAGGTGAGAAGGATTCTGTTCAACTTTTTGCTGTAAGGTAGTCCAGCAAGGTCTTGTAACTAATGTTTTCGTCCCTTAATTAGGATTTTACCATTTTAAAAAAATCTGGTGAGCGACTGACACCCAATTTACATCCCCATGTTTCCAGAAGATGGAGCAGAAACCATGACAAGAAGATTCTAGAAGTCACTCAGCAGATCATTGAGCTGCTGACGGGAGAGGTGAGCGGTTCCGGGAATTCTGGGACATTATCCAGTAACAGACAAGGGATGTGTCTGGATGGTGACTGTATCATTGTGTGTGTCAGGTTCCTATAAGGTGTCAGGATGTCACTGTCTATTTCTCCATGGAGGAGTGGGAGTATCTAGAAGGACACAAGGACCTCTACAAGGACGTCATTGTGTACAATGACAAATCCCTCAATTCTTTTGGTAAGTGGAAGATTGATGAACTGTTATTTATTCTCACTTTGGTATAATAAGGTGTCCTGTCATAGCGGTTGTCTCGACCTTCACTGAAGCAAAATCATTAAAACGTAGCCACCATCTTTCATTTGTTTGTATAAAGGATAGTTATAGGTTAGTTAGTCATAGAACCCTCCTGAGGGTCCTTTCCTGAAATTAGCTTCAGCTTCATGTGTCTGGTGGTGGACCTTCATACCATTCCTTTGGTCTGATATTTATTATATAGCTAGATCATTGTTCCTTTTTATTAAGTAGATTCTATTGACTGGAATGGTACCAACCAATTGGCCAAAGCAAATGTCGTACTGGTGCCTAACAAGGATTGAGATGTATGACAGGAACGTCAGACCAGTCAGCCTTACATCAGTAGTATGCAAGTTATGAGAAGGAAAGGTAAGGGACTATATTAAAGGATTTTGTTAATAAAATGTTATCCTAAGTAACACCCAGCGTGGATTCATGAAGGACCTTTCTTGTCAGATCAACCTACTAACATTGTATGAGGAAATGAACAAGGATTGAGATGTATGCCAGGAACTTCAGGCCAGTCAGCCTTACATCAGTAGTATGCAAGTTATGGGAAGGAAAGATAAGGGACTATATTCAAAAATTTGCATATGAAAATGGTATCATAAGTAACACCCAGCATAGATTTATGAAGGACCTTTCTTGTCAGATCAACCTACTAACATTGTATAAGGAAGTGAACAAGGATTGAGATGTATGACAGGAACGTTAGACTATTCAGCCTTACATCAATAGTATGCAAGTTATGGTAAGGAAAGGTAAGGGACTATATTAAAGGATTTTCTTATGAAAATGTTATCCTAAGTAACACCCAGCGTGGATTTATGAAGGACCTTTCTTGTCAGACCAACCTACTAATGTTGTATGAGGAAGTGAACAAGGATTGAGATGTATGCCAGGAACTTCAGACCAGTCAGCCTTACATCAGTAGTATGCAAGGTATGAGAAGGAAAGATAAGGGACTATATTAAAAAATTTGCAGATGAAAATGGTATCATAAGTAACACCCGTTATGGATTTATGAAGGACCTTTCTTGTCAGATCAATCTACTAACATTGTATGAGGAAGTGAGTAACAATATAGAGAGTAAGGCCAATGGATGTTGCTGACTTGTGGAATTGAAGGTGGGAATAAGTAGCTCGATCTCAGTTTTTGCTGATGACACCAAGCTATGTATAGATAACATCACAATAGGACATTGAATATCTACAAGAAGACCATGATAAAGAGTGTCATCAAAATTCGTGTTGCGGTCACATGTCTTCTTTAGTGTCCTTCAAAACCATGCAAAATCTTGAGGCACTCCTGACGTAAATGTTACTTACAATCAATGGAAAACTGGAGCCTTTGATGCACACAACCACCTTTATGAAATCAACTATATGTGAAGCTCCAGTTCACATTAAAAGCCCCCCCATCACTTCACGGACCCCCTTTTTCCCCCAGCCCGTCTGAGTCCCCCCCCATAACAGAGCCCCCTCTTCCCATCAGAGCCCTACCCCATTTCAGCAGCATGGCAGAGGGCAGAAGGGGGAGCAGGTCTAGACAGAGGTACACTCCTTCCTCACTTGAATTCTGGGTATGATCTTGAATGCCACCTGCCCTGGATCATTGTCATGATTTGCCATGGAGTGGGTGGGAAACCATACATCCTGGCCCTAGAGCTTCATTGGTTATTGTTTTGCTGGTGTCTGGCCCGAACCATGGCAGTACATTATGCTGATCCTAGGCAAACTGCGTCCCATGTTCATGGCACCCCAGGGAAACTCAATTAGCACCCCAGTTGAGAAATGCTGGTGTAGCATAAGTCCCTGGTATAGCTTGGGTGAAATCTAGTTAGATTGTTTCAGGACATACAAACTCCATGCCAACAGCATTGGTGGGATTTGACCTTGTCATGTCCAAGTGGGTGGAGCTAAGAAATCAAGTTCAGAGTTATGAGTCTATTCATTGACTACACAGATCAGTGCTCACCTAAGACATCACATTTGGGTTACTGACAAGATACACTCTGACTTTTTGTCACAAAAGACCGTTGTCATCATGGCAGTATGGTGGCTTAGTGTCTTCCACTTCTGCATGGGGTCTTTGGTTACAATCCCAACCAGGACACTACCTGCATGGAGTTTGCATGTTCTCCCTATGCTTTATCACTGGAACATGAGAAAAGGGGACATTCTGTAATGGGGACATCTGTTCCAGAGACAATTGTCAAAGGGGCCATTTCCTTTACTTTTGGAAGATTTCCATTTCCTGTCATATCTGTAGGACAGGAAGTGGCGAGAATTCCCCCTGATGGGGATACAGATAGCATTGAAAACCTGATCTATCCAAAAGCTTAGAAAAAAAAGCTTTGCGGGTCTTCTACCTGTTGTTTTTTACCCAGTATGTTTTTGTTACAGCAGAAGGAGATGACCCTGAAGCGGATACCTCAGAAGGAGACCATTTTTCAGATGATGATGAGGAGCGATACAGAGCCCGCAGTGTAGACAGACGTAGGTCAGATGACTTCCCTAATGATGGCAACTTTAAATCCATATTTATAAAGGAGGAGGCATTGGATGAAGAGGAGACCAAGGTGATGGTGGTGGAGGAACCAGAGATGGAATTTATGGAGATTCTCACCAACCACAATTTCGACTTATATCACCATACATATCGTGACGACCTTCCATCCTACAAATCACCAGATCTTATGGACTCTGACAGTGACACAGGTGATGAAGGCCATCAATTCGGGAATATCTGCAACTGCAGGTCACGATGTCAAATGACAGACAAGGGCATTAGACCATCAAAGGGCAAAGATGGTGAGACATTTATGCATGTAACTTTAGTAAATCCCCAAATGAGGGGTTCATGGTTGCATGCAAACTTCCTTGCCCCTTACCAAGTTCATCATGGATCTGGGTGGGTATATGTTCTCATAGGATCCACAGTCAACCACCTGTAAGCTGGTTTAGCAGACATACAGTATGCACATGCCTTGACAAAGTGTCATTTGGAAGCCTTGATACCCGGTTAAGAAGTTGGCGCTAAGCCCAGTTCCCCCCATCCCTTAGTGTTGGCTCACCATTGTGAATAGCGCCCTCACTTACAAATCCTGTGATAGAGGAGGGGACAGACCAAGCAACAACGTTCCATATTAGAGCTCATATGGAACCCTAGAAAACAAGGGAAATCACCAGTAGGGTCCTGGAGTTGTCTGCTCCACCAACCCAGAGGCAGACAATTGTGGATCCTGCAAAACAAATCTGTTACTCCGCAAAACAAGCCATTAAACTCTGGAGCGGTAAAGTCCAAGCTGAAACGTTTATAATGACCACATAGGCTATATAAATGATAAAATCAGCTGGCTTCAATAAGACCTCAGCAGATGGAAGAAATAGCCTGTAGAAATGCAAATAAACAAAAGAGGGCGCTTTTAGGTGCAGTATGGAAGATCAATTTTTCATTAAAAAGCAAATAAAGCACTCACACGTAGTAGAATAAAAAGCGCAAGTTATTATCTCTGTTGGCGTCATTCAGAAACCCAGGCAGTGAAAAGATGATAGGGAGCAGAAACCACCAATAGGAGAGGATATACAAGCTCTGGAGCCGATCTGGCAGCATGGGAACTTGGCCGGGAGCCATGAAGGGGATGTGGCTACACGTATCAAAGTGGTAATACCTCTTACTTAAGCCCCTGCTACACGTAGCCATGCCCCCTTCACACCTCTCGGTGTGTGACATCATCAGCCAGGTTCCCATGTTGTCAGCTCCAGAGCTTGTATATCCTCTCCTATTGGTGGTTTCTGCTCCCTATCATCTTTTCACTGCCTGGGTTTCTGGATGAGGGCAACGTTATGGTGTATCCTTTTTTTATTGGTTGTTTCTGTTCCATATCATATTTGCATTGCCTGGGTTTCGAGATGGGTATATCCTTCTTTATTGGTGGTTTCTGTTCTCTATCGACTTTTCACTGCCTGGGTTACTGGATGATGACAACGTGATGGTGTATCCTTTATTGGTGGTTTCTGCTCCATATCATCTTTTCACTGCCTGGGTTTCTGGATGAGGGCAACGTGATGGTGTATCCTTCTTTATTGGTGGTTTCTGTTCCATATCATATTTGCATTGCCTGGGTTTCGTGGTGGTATATCCTTCTTTATTGGTGGTTTCTGCTCCCTATCGTCTTTTCACTGCCTGGGTTTCTGGATGAGGGCAACATGATGGTGTAGCCTTCTTTATTGGTGGTTTCTGTTCCATATCATATTTGCATTGCCTGGGTTTCATGATGGTATATTCTTTTTTTTTTGGTGGTTTCTGTTCCCTACCATATTTGCACTGCCTGGGTTTCTGGATGATGACAACGTGATGGTGTATCCTTCTTTATTGGTGGTTTCAGCTCCCAATCGTCTTTTCACTGCCTGGGTTTCTGGATGAGGGCAACGTGATGGTGTATCCTTCCTTATTGGTAGTTTCTGCTCCATATCATCTTTTCACTGCCTGGGTTTCTGGATGATGACAACGTGATGGTGTATCCTTCTTTATTGGTGGTTTCTGCTCCCTATCGTCTTTTCACTGCCTGGGTTTCTGGATGATGGCAACGTGATGATATACCTTTTTTTATTGGTGGTTTCTGTTCCCTACCATATTTGCACTGCCTGGGTTTCTGGATGAGGGCAACGTGATGGTGTATCCTTCTTTATTGGTGGTTTCTGTTCCCTACCATATTTGCAGTGCCGTGGTTTCTGGATGAGGGCAACGTGATGGTGTATCTTTCTTTATTGGCAGTTTCTGCTCCCTATCGTCTTTTCACTGCCTGGGCTTCTGGATGAGGGCAACATGATGGTATATCCTTCTTTATTGGTGGTTTCTGTTCCCTACCAAGTTTGCACTGTCTGGGTTTCTGGATGATGACAACGTGATGGTGTATCTTTCTTTATTGGTGGTTTCTGCTCCATATCATCTTTTTACCGCCTGGGTTTCTGGATGATAACGTGATGGTATAAATTTTTTTATTGGTGGTGTCTGTTCCCTATCATGTTTGCACTGCCTGGGTTTCTGGATGAGGGCAACGTGGTGGTGTATCCTTCTTTATTGGTGGGTTCTGCTCCCTATCGTCTTTTCACTGCCTGGGTTTCTGGATGATGGCAACATGATGGTATATCCTTCTTTATTGGTGGTTTCTGTTCCCTATCAACTTTTCACTGCCTGGGTTTCTGGATGATGGCAAGCATCCTCTTGAGTTCCTTTGCATGGCTACAGATGATGGTTCCAGTGACCCTATCACCACAGGGTCACTAATACGCAATGCCCAGGCTCTGAAAGAAGTCTATACGTACCTTTCCTTGGTTCTTTCTGTTGGCTCCTACGTCACTATAGGACATAAAGGCTGGCAGAAAGAGTTTCCAAACTCTGCTCCCCCCCCCGCCGTGGCAGGCATTCAGCCCTTTGGGTATGTTGAATGCCTATTTGTTAGCAGGTTGTGGCTCTTTCTGCCGGCTTATATATCCTATAGTGACGTATGAGCCAACAGAAAGAACCAAAGCGTTTGGCTTGGGAGCAGGTCTTCCACACAATCGAAACTGTGGAATACACGGAGTAGCCATGGAGCGGCGAAGAGGAGGAGCTTCACCACACTGGAAGGATAATTATGAAGCCTGTCTGCATTGTGTATAGGTGGCCCAGTGGTGACAAGTCCCCCTTTCTGTTTTTGCTGAGGAAGGTCTAGGCGGCAAACAGAGTTCAGACCTAGGTCAGCAGGTGGAATCGAGCTAAATTTTTCCCCGGCTTAGAGAACGAGGTAAAAAAAAAAAAAAGGACTGGCTACATTGAAGAGTAGTGAAAATTAATAGGAAGCTTGAGGATATTATGACTACTTAGCTGAATTCCACTACTTCATCAACTTTGTGAAAAGTGCAGGCACACCATGAATGAAGTCCTAATAGCCAGGGGTTATCTCTGACAGGTTTATGGCTCTGCAGGAGGATACACTCCACACCGGAGTCTGTGAGAGAGTAGAGAAGCACACAGAGCAGCTATGCCTGCTCCACCGTTCTACTGCCCATTCACAGAAGCCTTTGTATTGTGTGAATGAGTTCACACAATACAAAGGCTTCTGTGATTTGGCAGGAGGAGTTGAGGAGCAGGCATAGTAGCTGCACTGACTCTACACTTGAAGGGGCTGAGTCCAGCAGCCGATCTCAAGAAGCTATGCTGCTAAAGAACAATGAACCTGTCGGATATAAATGATAGAGATACGCCCAGGAGGTGGCAGGCATCTTGTTGGACTTAACTTGTAGAGTGTCTTCACTTTTTACAAAGTTGCTGAATTCCTGCTTTAACTCCTTCCTGCCCAGTGCCATTAGTACAGTGTCAGTGCTGTTTTTTAGCACTGATCACTGTATTGGTGTCACTGGGTATGTCGGTGACACCAAGTCAGTTCCCCCCAGTGTCAGAATGCCTGCCGCAGTCCCGCTATAAGTCGCTGATCGCCGCTATTACTAGTAAAAATGAAAAAAAAAAAAAAATCCCAGTATCTACAGTATACCGCCATTTGTAAATGCTATAATGTTCACGCAAACCAATTAATTTACACGTATTGGGATTTGTTTCGTAAACACATATCGCAGAATACATTTTGGCGTAAATTTATAATGAAATTTGATTTTTTAAAATTTTTTACTGGACACGTTTAACCACTTCAAGTCCGGACACTTTCACCCCCTTCCTGCCCAGACCAATTTTCAGCTTTCAGCGCTATAACACTTTGAATGACAATTGTGCAGTTGTGCAACACAAATTTTTTAGTATTTTTTTTGAGACAGATAAAACTTTATTATGGTGGTATTTATTCACCACTGGGATTTTTTTATTTTTTTTTTGCTATATAAATGAAAAAGTCCAAAAATTTTGAAGAAAGTGTTTTTCTTATAAAAGTTTGCAAATAAATAATTTTTCTTCATAAATCTTGGCCAAAATGTATTCAGTTATCTTTTTAGTAAAAAAAAACCCAAATTAATTTATAACCAAAAATTATACTTTTTCAAAAAAATTTTTTTACTTTTTTATTTTATTTTTTTATATTATTATTTGTTTTTTTTTTAACATACTGTCACCCTAGCAGTACAGTGTCACCATAGTAACACTGTACTACTTGTGGGGGGTGATGAAGATTTTTTTTTTTTTTACACTGATTGCTTTTACACCCATAAAGGATGTAAAAGCATTCATTTCTCCTTCTCTCTGGCTGCATTCCTGCAGCCATTGAGAAATACTGTGAGAGCTGTGATTGGTCACAGTTTGTCACAGTTTCACACGTAGTAAGCAATGATGTCAGAAGTGACATCTTGCTTACTACTCTTCATGTGATCACTGATTGGCCAATAAGTGATTACATGACCGGGACCTCACACAGAGGTCCTGTACAGCGAAGACCGGATCGTGGTGCCGCACGCTCCCAGGTAGCGCGCACAGGCTACAATGTCGGGCGCCGTTTATGAATGGCAACCCGCCCCTGCACTGCTCCCATCCGGCCATTTATATACAGTGGGGCAAAAAAGTATTTAGTCAGCCACCAATTGTGCAAGTTCTCCCACTTAAAAAAAATGAGAGAGGCATGTAATTGGCATCATAGATAGACCTCAACTATGAGAGACAAAATGAGAAAAAAAATCCAGACAATCACATTGGCTGATTTGGAAAGAATTTATTTGCAAAATATGGTGGAAAATAAGTATTTGGTCACCTACAAACAAGCAAGATTTCTGGCTCTCACAGACCTGTACCTTCTTCTTTAAGAGGCTCCTCTGGCCTGCACTCATTACCTGTATCAATGGCACCTGTTTGAACTTGTTATCAGTATAAAAGACACCTGTCCACAAGCTGTCGAAGGACACCAGAAACAAAATTGTAGACCTGCACCAGGCTGGGAAGACTGAATCTGCAATAGGCAAGCAGCTTGGTGTGAACAAATCAACTGCGGGAGCAATTTTAGAAAATGGAAGACATACAAGACCACTGATAATCTCCCTCGATCTGGGGCTCCACGCAAGATCTCACCCCGTGGGGTCAAAATGATCACAAGAACGGTGAGCAAAAATCCCAGGATCACACGGGGGGACCTAGTGAATGACCTGCAGAGAGCTGGGACCAACGTAGCAAAGGCTACCATCAGTAACACACTACGCCACCAGGGGCTCAGATCCTGCAGTGCCAGACGTGTCCCCCTGCTTAAGCCAGTACATGTCCGGGCCCGTCTGAAGTTTGCTAGAGAGCATTTGGATGATCCAGAAGAGGATTGGGAGAATGTCATATGGTCAGATGAAACCAAAATAGAACTGTTTGGTAGAAACACAACTTGTCGTGTTTGGAGGAGAGAGAATGCTGAGTTGCATCCAAAGAACACCATACCTACTGTGAAGCATGGGGGTGGCAACATCATGCTTTGGGGGCTGTTTCTCCGCAAAGGGACCAGGACAACTGATCCATGTACAGGACAGAATGAATGGGGCCATGTATCGTGAGATTTTGAGTGCAAACCTCCTTCCATCAGCAAGGGCATTGAAGATGAAACGTGGCTGGGTTTTCCAACATGACAATTATCCCAAACATACTGCCCTGGCAATGAAGTAGTGGCTTCGTAAGAAGCATTTCAAGGTCCTGGAGTGGCCTAGCCAGTCTCCAGATCTCAACCCCATAGAAAACCTTTGGAGGGAGTTGAAAGTCCGTGTTGCCCAGCGACAGCCCCAAAACATCACTGCTCTAGAGGAGATCTGCATGGAGGAATGGGCCAACATGCCAGCAACAGTGTGTGCCAACCTTGTGAAGACTTACAGGAAACGTTTGACCTCTGTCATTGCCAACAAAGGATATATAACAAAGTATTGACATGAACTTTTGATATTGACCAAATACTTATTTTCCACCATATTTTGCAAATAAAATTCTTTCCAAATCAGCCAATGTGATTGTCTGGATTTTTTTTCTCATTTTGTCTCTCATAGTTGAGGTCTACCTATGATGCCAATTACAGGCCTCTCTCATCTTTTTAAGTGGGAGAACTTGCACAATTGGTGGCTGACTAAATACTTTTTTGCCCCACTGTACATGGGCCGGACGGGAAATGGTTAATAGCAAAAAGTCAAAAATATTGTTTTTTTTTCCCTCAAAATTTTTTTTTTTTTTTTTATAGCGCAAGAAATAATAAATTAAAAAAAATAAATAAAAAATAATTTAAAAAAATAATAAAAAAAAAAAAAACCGCACAGGTGATCAAATACCAATTGTTAAGCATGTGTGTAAAATCAATCTGTAATTCTTCAAAAGGACCCTGTGGTGGAGGAAGATGGTCATGTTGACCATACCGCTGTCCTGTATTATTGTTCCTCAAACAAATAACAAACCTTCCAAACTGAACAAAAACTCAATTTGTGGGAACAAAAGTACGTAAATTTCATTTGGGTGCAGGCTGCATGACCGCGCAATTGGCAAAGTAATGCGAACAATGTCCTGGTCAAGAAGGGGGGGAGGGGGAATCCATTGGGCTTTGTAGAGCATTAGGTAAATAGAACGTTTGGTCAGTGAAATGTTTCCATCTGCGGTTTTAGTTCTTCTGTAATTTATATATCATTTCTTCCAGTGGAGGGCTATGATGTAGAATTCTCAGCGGCCGGCCGTAGAAGTGGAGATCGCAGTGACAGTGACATGCTGGAGACGGTACAAGCAGAGACCGTTCCAAGACAAGACTAGGATCTCCGGAACGCTCTGTGGAAGGTGATCCAGACCAATATCTAAGTCCAGATACTTTGGTGGTCATCAAGAAGGAGCCATCTTCCTCTGACGATGAACATTTTGAGACCATAGCTGTACAAGTTAAGGAGGACCTAACTCTGATGGAAGTGAACCCTTGCTCGGCAGAGAAGTCCACGCATATGGACACCATGTCTATTATCAATGCAGATGGTACGGTTACCTATATAAAAAAGGAGTCAACTTTGGAGGAAGATGATGACCACAGCGATGGTGGTACAGTCACAGATCCGACAGAATGTATGACAAGTCCTCTAGAGAAGGTCTCTGACTCTATCCCGAAATGTTCTAGAGGTACCAAAAGGTTGTCAGGTCTTCCAGAGATAAAGTCCCGAGACTGTACAGGGTGGTCCAAGACGCACCAAAGGGCTTCCAAAGCAGGAAATCCATTCGCCTGCAGTTACTGTGGCAAATCTTTCGCTTGCAATTCAGCTCTTGAAACCCACAGCCGCGTCCACACTGGTGAAAAACCGTTCTTGTGTTCAAAGTGTGGTAAGAGTTTTATGAGAATTGCCGGCCTGTGCGCCCATGAGAAGGTCCACTCTCGAGAGCGGCTGTTTCGGTGTTCTGATTGCGGGAGATGTTTTTTCTTCCAGATCCCGTTTTGCGAGGCATCAGGTGATTCACTCGGCAAAGATACAGGCTTCGAGTTCAGATTGTGAGAAAGGCGTTGATAGTGGCCCATGTTTTGTTGGTCGGGTGAAGGTTCAAGCCCAAGAGGAGCCATATCATTGCTTGGAAGGTGAGGCATTGGCCAGCCCGGAGGATCTAACCCTCCCCTGTAGAACTCTACCGGTGGAGAAGCCTTATTTGTGTCTTGAGTGTGGGAAGTGTTTTGTGTTAAGTTCCTCTCTACTTTTGCACCAGAAAACCCACCGAGAAAAGCAGCAACTGCCATGTCCATATTGTAGTAAGTGTTTCCCAAGCCGCTCTCATCTTGAGCGCCACGAACGAATCCATACGGGGGAGAAACCCTTCTCGTGTTCTTACTGCAACAAAAAGTTTGCCAACCGCTCTTCTGTTGCAGTTCACCAACGGATTCACACGGGGGAAAAGCCGTATTCTTGCCTGGTATGCGGAAGGTGCTTCACCGATCTCTCCGGCCTTGTCGTCCATAAGAGGACACATGACCGAGTGATGGAAAACACATGAGCGTCTTGAACCCGTGGAGGAACGTCACCTTTAGAGGTCAACTGATCAGTTCACTTCCGATCGGGCAGATGTGATATCTTCCCATCCCAAACTTTTTTCTTTTTTTGGGTAGAGTGGGGGAAGAGTTACATCAGCCTTTTCAACACACAGGAACCCTTGAAATAACTTTCTGGTCTTGGGGAACCCTGGCTAAAGCTCACTATCTCCACAACTCATGATGGTCGGTGGGAAGAATGATCCTTCAACATGTGGACATTAGGAAGAATGAACCCCTTACAGGTCAATGGTGTCAAGTGGGAACTTATCTAAGAGGCCGAAATTGTTCACGGCTCAAGGAACCCCTAGCAACATCTGGAGAAACCCTGGGTTAGACCCTTCAAATATTATTGTTTCTTGTGTTCCCACTAGGGTGATTCTTCATCTCTATTTTTTTGGTGACCAATTGGGACAGCAAGTGAAAAATAAGGACCAAGCTTTTTCTGGAATTTTTTTAAAACAATCAGGTTTTTTGTTAGAAAATTGGTTAGAACCCCCAAACATATATTTTTAAAGCAGAGGTCCTAGAAAATATAATGGTGGGTTTTGCCATTTTTAATGTCACACAGCGCAGTGTTTTTTGTTTTTTGTTTTTTTTTTTTAAATGCAACTGTTGGGGACAAAATACCCTTTTTTGAATTTTAATGAAAAAAAAAAAACACATAACCCAATTCTTTTGTAAAATATAAAAGATGATGTTACACCGAGTAAATAGATACTAAACATGTCGCCCGTGCAACGTAAATTTTACTATCCATTGGTGACACTTTAAAAGCCTTTACAGGTTACCAGTTTAGATACCCATATGGAAGAAAAATATGTTTGAAATATATATTTTTTTAATATTCTTACCAAATATGTTGACATATATTTGAAATGCTACAATTTTAGCAATATTCAATATATATCAAAGTATATTTCAATGAATAAATATATATTATATATGTGTGTGTGTGTGTGTGTACGTGTGTGTGTATATATATATATATTCACAACAGCCTTGTACCATGTGACAATCTGTGACCAATCACAGCTCACACAGTATTTCTCAATGGCTGCAGGAATGCAGCCAGAGAGAAGGAGAAATTATTGCTTTTACAGCCTATATGGGTATAAAAGCAATCAGTGTAAAAAAAGAAATCTTTATCACCCCCCACAAGTAGTACAGTGTCAGTACGGTGACACTGTACTTCTAGGGTGACAGTATGTAAGAAAAACCCAAATAATAATATTTTAAAAAAAAATTAAAAAATGTTTTAGAAAAATTATAATTTATGGTTATAAACTAATTTGGGTTATTTTTTTTTTACTAAAATAATAGATGAATACATTTTGGCCAAGATTTATGAAGAAAGATTATTTATTTGCAAAATTTTGTAAGAAAAACACTTTTTTTCAACATTTGGGATCTTTTCATTTATATAGAAAAAAAATAAAAATAAATACAACCAAAAGAAAGTTTTATCTGTCTCCAAAAATGCTAAAAAATTCATATGGGTACAGTGTTGCATGACCGCGCAATTATCATTCAAAGTGTGACAGCGCTGAAACTTGGTCTGGACAGGAAGGGGGTGAAAGTGTCCGGACTTGAAGTGGTTAAAGTGAAGTAAAAAGAGGCAAAAAAAATGCAAGAGAATGCATCAAAAACGTGCATGCAGAAACACTTCAGGGCTGTGTTACTATGGTGTGTACTGGCCCACTGGAGCAGCATGACAGCCAGGTAACAGTGGTGTGAGCCTCCTGCGCTCACAATAATATTAAACAATAATATTAAAAGCAAAAAGCTGCCAACATTAAATCATATATCCAATGATCCTCAAAACTAAAATGTGAAAAAAATGTAGCGCTAATCACTAAAAGAAAAATCAAAATAAAGCAATGTGCAAATAGGTCCCCCCAATTATAAGTGAATAAACGTGTCTACTAAAATAGCCTCGTGCTTATAAACACACACAAAAAATAAACTCCTATAGTGATGGTGGAAGAAACAGTCCTATTGACTGATAACAGTGCGTGTTTTAACAAATATACATAGACACACAAAGTGCACTTAATATATGTATATATATATATACACACACCTACACAGATCTCATAAAGTGAATAAAAACAACCTCATGTGCAAATGTGAACTCAAATTAGTGCAATAATATACACACAATAATCTATTTTCATGCGTTTTTTAAAGTCCAACTTTCAATAATCATACTCCAGTGAACAAAATAACTCGTGCTGATATCCGTGTGAAAACGTGGGTTGATAGCTGTATAAAAAATCATCCGATCACCGGCTGAATTAGCCTCTCACTTTACAGACTCGACCCTTGCGAGTCCTGATCCCTAGAGGGAGATCTGCACATATTGGGAGCTGTCGTTTGGAGTGATACTAACCTGGAGGATCTGTGAGAGGGATCCTATAAAAACGCTTTGACTCGCAAGGGTCGAGTCTGTAAAGTGAGAGGCTAATTCAGCCGGTGATCGGATGATTTTTTATACAGCTATCAACCCACATTTTCACACGGATATCAGCACGAGTTATTTTGTTCACTGGAGTATGATTATTGAAAGTTGGACTTTAAAAAAACGCATGAAAATAGATTATTGTGTGTATATTATTGTACTAATTTGAGTTCACATTTGCACATGAGGCTGTTTTTATTCACTTTATGAGATCTGTGTAGGTGTGTGTATATATATATATATATATATATATATATATATACATATATTAAGTGCACTTTGTGTGTCTATGTATATTTGTTAAAACACGCACTGTTATCAGTCAATAGGACTGTTTCTTCCACCATCACTATAGGAGTTTGTTTTTTGTGTGTTTATAAGCACGAGGCTATTTTAGTAGACACGTTTATTCACTTATAATTGGGGGGACCTATTTGCACATTGCTTTATTTTGATTTTTCTTTTAGTGATTAGCGCTACATTTTTTTCACATTTTAGCCAGGTAACAGGTATTTCCAGATGGAGAGGTCAGCGATTAGCATCCTCAATACTCTATTGTTACATGTCCTATAATTGATGTAGAGCGATGATTTGATCTGCTTCTAGTTGCACAGTCTACAGTTGCCGGTTGGGATTCGTAGGCATCGTGGTTTGCCACATACGCCATTCCCAGGAGAGTCACAACTTGCGTAAAAGTTACCAGACCTGTCCAATTCCAGATGGATCCTAAAACGATCAGTTCACATCTGATTTCATGACGGTCCAAGACTTCTAAATTAGGATAATAAAAAAATATTTTATATAGTTATTAATAAAACCCACAAAAGTGGCGGCAGAAATTATGTTTATTTTATTTAATCTTGTATATAGTGATGGTACATCTCCGGGTGACTACCAGAAAACACATCTTTTACTGTATGTATACTGTTCAGCTATACCCCATCCCTCCCCATAGAAGACCACCCCCACAGTTCCCATTGGAGCACCACCATTCCCCCTCTTGGTATACCCCATCCCTCCCCTTTGAAGACCACCCCCACAACTCCTATTAGAACCCCCATTTCTCCTCTTGGTATACCCCATCAATCCCCTTTGAAGACCACCCCCCACAGAACCCATTGGAGCACCACCATTCCTCCTTTTGGTATACCCCCAGTCCCTCCCCTTTGAAGAACACCCCCCACAGCTCCTATTAGAGCACCCCCATCCCTCCCCCTTGAAGACTACCCTCACAGCTCCCATTGGAGCACCACCATTCCTCCTCTTTGAAGACCACCCCCCCAAAGCTCCTATGGAACACCACCATTCCTCCTCTTGGTATACCCCCATCCTTCCCTTTTGAAGATCACCCCCACAGATCCTGTTGGAACAAAACCATTCCTCCTTTTGGTATACCCCCATCACTCCCCTTTGAAGACCACCCCACAGATCCCATTGGAGCACCACCATTCCTCCTCTTGATAAACCCTTATCCCTCCCCTTTGAAGACCACCCCCACAGCTCCCATTGCAACACCAACATTCCTCCTCTTGGTATACCCCCATCACTCCCCTTTGAAGACCACCCCCCACAGCTCCCATTGGAGCACCACCATTCCTCCTCTTGGTATACCCCCATCCTTCCCCTTTAAAGACCACCTCCACAGCTTATTGGAACAAAACCATTCCTCCTCTTGGTATACCCTATCCCTCCTCTTTGAAGACCACCTCCAAAAGTTCCCATTGGAACATCATCAATCCTCCTCTTGGTATACCAAATCCCTCCACTTTGAAGACCCCACAGCTCCTATTGGAGCACCACCATTTCTCCTCTTGGTATACCCCATCCCTCCCCTTTGAAGACCACCCCCCACAGCTCCTACTGGAGCACCACCATTCCTCTCTTGGTAAATCCCCAGTCCCTCCCCTTTGAAGAGCACCCCCCACAGCTCCTATTGGAGCACCACCATTCCTCCTCTTGGTATACCCCCTCCCTCCCCTTGGAAGACCACCCCCACAGCTCCCATTGGAGCACCACTATGCGTCCTCTTGGTATACACCATCCTTCCCCTTGGAATACCACCCCCAACAGCCCCCATTGGAACACCACCATTCCTCCTCTTGGTATACCCCATCCCTTCCCTTGGAAGACCACCGCCACAGCTCCCATTGGAGCACCACTATGCCTCCTCTTGGTAAACCCTTATCCCTCCCCTTTGAAGACCCCTCCCACAGCTCCCATTGGAACACCAACATTCCTCCTCTTGGTATACCCCCATCACTCCCCTTTGAAGAACACCCCCCACAGCTCCCATTGGAGCACCACCATTCCTCCTTTTGGTATACCCCATCCTTCCCCTTTGAAGACCACCCCCCACAGCTCCCATTGGAGCACCACCATTCCTCCTCTTGGTATACCCCATCCCTCCCCTTTGAAGACCCCCCCCCCCTCAAAGCTCCTATGGAGCACCACCATTCCTCCTCTTGGTATACCCCCATCCTTCTCCTTTGAAGACCACCTCCACAG